GAAGCCTCTTCATCTTCACAATCTTCTGAAGCCAACAAGGGCCTAGGAAAAGACAGCAGTTGAGAGGACAGATATTCAATTTTGGAAATGGAGATCTGACAAGAGTCTCTCTTTAGTTCTTTTTCAGGGAAAAGACTTATGAATCTTTTGGACCCCAGAAAGTTAGTTGAGCCAACATCACTCAATAAAGCCAGGATCCCCACTTCATAGGGATAAAAGTGGATTTGAGGATCCCAAGTTGTAGTTCTTAGTAGGTGTCAAGGTTCCTTCTCCACTCTGAACTTTAGAGTACAGATATGGGGACCTGCATGTGAACCTCTAAACTGAATTACCATCTTAGATCTGGTTTTGCTGCCACCACTCCCAAGTACTAACTCCCTTCCCTGGGTAGCCTTGAGAGACTTTTCCACCAATTTCCTGGTGAACACCGATCCAAACCCTTGGATCTTAAAACAAGGAGAAATTAACCATTCCCCCTCCTTTCTCCCACCAATTCCTAGTGAGTCCAGATCCAATCCTCTTGGATCTTAAAACAAGGAAAAATCAATCAGGTTCTTAAAAAGAAGACTTTTAATTAAAGAAAGAAAGGTAAAAAATCATCTCTGTAAAATCAGGATGGAAAATAACTTTACAGGGTAATCAGATTCAAAGAGCCCAGAGGAACCCCCTCTAGCCTTAAGTTCAAAGTTACAGCAAACAGATGTAAACTCTCTAGCAAAAGGTACATTTACAAGTTGAGAAAACAAAGATAAACCTAGCACGCCTTGCCTGGCTGTTACTTACAAGTTTGAAATATGAGAGACTTGTTCAGAAAGTTTTGGAGAGCATGGATTGATGTCCGGTTCCTCTTAGTTTCAAGAGCGAACAACCCCCAAAACAAAGAGCACAAACAAAAGCCTTCCCCTCACCAAGTTTTGAAAGTATCTTGTCCCCTTATTGGTCCTTTGGGTCAGGTGTCAGCCAGGTTACCTGAGCTTCTTAACCCTTTAAAGGTAAAAGGATTTTGGTGTCTCTGGCCAGGAGGGATTTTATAGTATTGTACACAGAAGGGCTGTTACCCTTCCCTTTATAGTTATGACAGTAGGTTTACAGAATAAAACTATCTGAGAGGAGTGGAAAGCCCCAGAAGGCGAGGGATCCTAGGTGAACCTGAGGCTCCATACATTATGACATTGAGGTTGACCCTCAGCCACGGAACCTACTTTTCCAGGATACTGTACTGATGAAACATGAAAAGGGATTGATTACATTGCAAAAGAAAATTCCTTGCCCAGAGCTACAAAAGAGAAAGATGACAAAGCTTGACTTGCCCACAAGCTGAGTTTCTCCTATTCACTTAGAATCCAATAGACTGGGGTGGGTAAACTACCGCCTGCGGGCCACATCTGGCCCATCAGACCATTTAATCTGTCCCTCAGCTCCAGCCGGGGAGTGAGGTCGGGGGCTTGTCCTGCTCCGCGCGGTTCCCAGGAGGCAGCTGCCTTGACGCGGAAGCGTGGCCAGGCAGCTCTGCACGCTGCCCCATCCACAGGCGCTCATCCTTGCAGCTCCCATTGGCCATGGTTCCCAGCCAATGGGAGCTGCAGAGGTGGTGGCTACGGACAGGGCAGTGTGCAGAGCCACCTGGCCGCGTCTTGGAGCTGGAGGGGGGACATGCTTCCAGGAGCTGCTTTCAGTAAGTGCCGCCTGAAGCCTGCATCCCTAAGCGCAACCCCCCCGCGCCCCAATCCTCTGCTACAGCCTGATCCCTTTCCCACCCTCCGAACCCCTCGGTCCCCTGGAGCACCCTCCTGCACCCCAAAGCCCTCATCCCTGGTCCCACCGCAGAGCCCACACCCCCAGCCGGAGCCCTCACACCCCTCCTCGGTACCCCAACCCCTGCCCCAGCCCTGATCCCCCTCCCGCCCTCCG